AAGAAGGCGATTGGAAATGATTTCAAAGCAGTAAGTTTTCTGGTCATATTTTTAGATACATATCAGAAAAAGTGATCTTTGAACAATGGTAAATAAGGAATATCGTGGAGTTATTCTTGTTTATGTTTCACTGATACTTCTTATCTTTGATAAATCTTAAGGTATCACAATTTTCCAACTGCATCAATTGTTGTTATAGAGCAATATCGATTTGCCAAACCTCATTCATATCAGTTACATTGTGTTAATTTGTAATCAAATGATATGAAGTTTTTTTTTCGTGGCTTATTTGATGCTATTTCCGGAATATATATTGCTCTTCTGCCATTTTCCATTTTTCCTACCTCAATTTTTCTGTCACCGTTTTTCTCACATAGCAGAAACTTGACCAAATCGAGCTTTATCAAGAAAGAAAAAGAAATAAGAAATAATATTCATAATTTTTCAGTCATAAACGTTCAGTGAGTATTGCATCACAAAATTCTTCTAATGCGGAATTTACGGCAAGTGAGAAATCAGCTTCATTACATCTACTTTGGGATGATCCACAGTGGGATGAGAAAGCGGATTTTTGTTTTTATGGTAATTGTTTACTTCATTTCCGCTTATTATTTACTATTTAGCAATGCTTCAGAATGAAGAATTGCTGGCTAATTGCTTAGGTGCTGAAATTTTTCTACTTCTAAAAAAAACTAAATTGTTTTTGGATTAAATCAGTACCGTTAGCTAAAAATGTATTGCTATGAGAATTTAAATTTATTCTCAGACAGATATTATCAACAACTTAATTGATATTGAAAATGTTTTGCTCTCATATGCTTAACATATTTTGCGATATTTGACCTCGATTTCGATATCTTTTTTCATTATACAATTTCCCTTCTCTTTGAGGAATAAAATGCGCTATACAAAGAATGCTTAATAAATTTTTAGGACGAATTTAATATTGAAAGAACTGCGAACAGTTTTTTTTTCCTGTTGTTATTAATTTAATTAATGTTATCGCTGGATTGCAAAGTTTTTTTAGATGATACGGATGATTATTCAGTCTTAAATCCTTGGGGAAATCCGCATATTTAAAACTGAATAATCATCTATATCATCATCTAATCATGAATATATTTTAATTTGAAAATTTCAAAGTTAATGATCATTCATTTTTAGGTGATATAATACATCGTGGTCATTATTCGGTATCATCTGATGTCTCGGATATGACCGAATTTCGAGCTGCTAAAGGACTGTTTGAAGAATCGGACAATCGTTGTAAGATGAAGAAGGAGGATGAAAGAAGTCATGAAAATGTAATGTATTACGTACAATTAGATTTTAATGAATTATTTCGGAAATTTTAGTTAAATTTCTGAAATGTTTTAAATCTCAGTGCAAAGTTCATGTTGCATTTACTTTTTATTTTCCATCCTTTTTGCTTTGCAAATATTTCATTTGAAAAATTTTCCATAGGCGAAGTAAGGAAAGATCGAATTGAATTTTGGAGCATTTTATAAGTAGTGCCTTCTTTTATAGCTGCTTGTAGTTTATGCTTGATATATATTTATAGATTTTGAAATGATTTATTTTTGATATATATTTTATCAAATATTTCATTTCTTATCTTTATAATATAAATTTTCAGTTAAATCGAGAGGAACGAAATATTGATTTGGATAGTAACAATTTCATCCAAAAAAATTGCATGATCGATTCTAAGCATCTTTATCACATTACTACCGGGTAAATTGATTATCTTTACGAGACAATTTCAGGTTTGATTTTAAAAAAAAAAATCATCTTTCATAGTGATACAAATTCGGTATATTTATATGCTCAAATTAGGGATAATTTTTAGATCTCGATTAAAAATATTCTGCAGGTTTATAACTCGAACGAACAGTATGTCAGTTTCGAGTGAACGTAGTTCTCAATCATTTCTATCTCTCAGACAACGGCTTATTGCTAATGCGTCGTCGGGTGGGTAAGTGATCATTGAATTTTTTTTTTCTTTCAAGAAATAAAATAAAAAATGGAAATTTGTGTAAATGTAAAATAATGTTTGATTGAAATGTTGCATAATCGTGAGGGGGATGATTAGGAATACAGAAAATTGCTAATTATTGAAGTATTACTATAGTAGAGAGGCTTAATTTACTATAGGATGATAGCATTGCATGAACATAAATAAATATTTAAATAAATATCATTCATTAAAATTAATTTGAAATTTCAGACTACTTGAATTAGCACAATCATCTTCTGCACCACCGATAATATCAGCAGATCATATGATAGCATCAATGACTGATAGCGGAATTAGCAGAGGAACCATTTCAACGTCCAATTTTCAGTCATCAATTAGGTTGTCCATTCATGTTTTATCATAGTTTTTTTTTGCAATTTTTGATACTTAATGGAATAATGCACAGGGATTTAAACAAAAAGAAAACTGTTGCAGTAATTAGTAAGGGTCAGGTTGGTTAATGATCAACAAAGGTTGAAATGGTAATCTGAGGTTATTGCACTGCTATGTAAGATTAATAGTCATGAAAATCGTGTAGGTGGAGGTAATATTTTGTTTACCCTTGATCTCTGACCTCTTTTCTTAGTTCACAAATCCTGTTGAAATATGCTTCCATAGATTCAATTCTCTTTTATTTATAATTATTTTCGTATTGTAAGTAATTATGAATATTATTATTCATTATTTCTCATTAATGAATTATGAAAATGAATTGTGCCTTCTTCATATGATCTGTATTCTAATTTATATAGATCAGCTGGTGTAAAATGTACTTTTGGAGCAGAGATATTCTCGAATGAAGATGAAATTCTCGATATGATGGTACCTGTCACATTAACAACAAATAGAAATTCTATTATTAGGTAAACTTTCGGCAGTTAAATAATTGGTAGCATATTTAATAAATTTGAAACTGAATAGCTCTTAGGAAGAAGTGATACATGAATTATGTTTAAACTTTTATTAAATGAATGTTAAATTTCAATGATGATTTAATTAGTGATTGTATACAAATAAATATGTTACGTGCTTTTTTCTTTGAGGGAGAGAGAGGGGAAGCATGATGTTTAGCTATGGGAGTTTATAGTTATATTAGCAGAAGGAAGAATATTACATTGTGCTTCCGATACTTTTGGTAAATATTATACTTCAATGCATATGATTAAATTTGAAGAGGTTGATTACACGTAAATAATGATCGAAGTAAATTGGAAGTTGGACAGTTAAAAACAAACACATCTAAAACGCAAGTACAACTATACTTAGATCTGTTTACTTTTCACCAGGAATTTCTATGGTAGCAAATAATCCGAACATTGATCGTATTAATAATTATACATTTGAGAATTTAGAAAGGTTAAACTTTTGAAATATCGATTGAACAGAAAAATTTTGTTGATGCTTACTTTTAAGATTTCAAAAAAGTTTTCATTTAAATTGTAATGAAAGATAATTGAATTGTTACCAGCGGATATGTACAAAATATGAATTAATTAATTTGTGATACAACAGGTAAATTGTACTGCAATACCTTATGGTATTTTGAGATGATGTTAAGAAAGTGAAATTGCTCTTTGATATTTTCAAGGCGGAATAATTTAAATCTAATCAGTGAGGATCGTTGCTCAATAGCTACATCTAATCAAAGTATGGAATGGTTTGAGGATGATTGCTGTCCATTTGTGAGAGAGGAAGATTTGGAAGAATCATCGGATGATCCATTAGCTGCATGCTTCAGGCATTCCGATTCTAATCAGGTACTTTCTTATCTGATGAATTATAATGATTTTTGAATGTTTATTTTTTTTTAGAATCTCAGGGTGATATGATATGAATTATTGGAGGATTAATTTAACAGTTGTTTTTTTTTGAAATGAGACATTATTTAATGCATGCTAAATATTGTAGAAATGATTTTCAACTCTTTGAAATTTCACGTTTTTATATGAGATTGTAGCGTCCCATTCAGTACTTTACTCGATGCTACTATGATTTAAGCATAGACAAGCAATAGCTTAGCATTCCTGAAGAATGAAAAGCATAGACAAGCAATAGCTTAGCATTCCTGAAGAATGAATGAAATGCTATCGTAATAACAAGAATTGTCATGGAACTTGAATTAGATAATTGTCTAAAGGGGTTAAAAAGATAGTTGAATTGACATAGAAATTTTTTTTTTTTAAATAAAATTATTGGACAGAAAATGATTGACAAATCAAAAATTAATAATGAATGTTTCATTTTAATGAATTATAGTATTCTATGGATCAGTTCACTGCAACTATTCATTTTTTGTATGCTGTCTCTAGCTTAAATTAGCTTCTTTTAGATACATCATCCTAGCAGTTCAGAAAGTAGACAAAAACACCTATACAGTGTTACACGTGATTTAATGGTGTGGGCAAGGGATCAATTTGGCCCTAAATCTTCTCAAATAAAGGTATGAATCATTTGAATATGAAGTTTAAACTCATGAATTTCAAGGAATTTCAGGCAGAGAACGTCAATGTTGATAATGAATGTATCAGCTGAAGTTTCTATGATCTGATAGTTTTATTAATTGTCTATATAGAACAGAAAATTATACGTATAATTTACTGGTTAAAAGTTGCTTATCACAAGAGAGAAGGAGAAAAGAATTATCAGAGATTTATAAATTTTCAGTGATTAGTTTGAAAATATTTTAGGCTCTTCAATCATTGTATATATCACATCAACGTTGGCGAAGGATAGGTTTAAAACGAAGTTCGAATTGTTCGGAACAATTTCTCAGTTCCCTGTTGCATTTAATGTTCATTCGTGGAATACCATTTTTCACCTGCTCGGACATATTGATCACTGCAAAGGTTTCAACTCTTGACCTTTAATTTAGTTTGCGTTGAGTGGTTGATCTTATATATGAAAATTTTGTTTACCTAGAACAGCTCTTAATAAAATATGAAACAAGAGCAAATTATTCACTACCTCGTTGATTAGATTCATCTTAAAGTGGTTGGTGATTTCATCACTTTAAGAGGAATCTAATCAACCGGATGGAAAATGATCTTCAATCAAAGGTGAGTAGAAGATGAAACGATGAGTATTTTATTCGATGCTTACAATATGTCTATAAAATTTTTTAATCTCAAAACATAATCAATTCATGAAAATTATTCAAATAATCTTTTAGTGGTAGTATTAAATGCTAATTTCAAAAAAAAAATTACATTTGCGTTATTGATTTTTTCCCAAATTCTCTTCTCTTTTCTTCTTTTTTTCGCTTCTGTAAAAAATATTGCCGAAGGATGTAATTGTAGCTTTCTTTGCTGTAACAGCTCTATCATTGACATATTAATATAAGTGATTGATATCTGTGTTGATATCTCTAACTATAATATTCATATCGCTTACTACTCTCACACATTATATCATTTAATGTGACACTTTCATTATCCTCAATAATTTTCCTAAACAGAAAAGATCCTTACTCAAAAATCATTCCTTACAAATATTTTGTATTTTTTTTCGAAGCATATGTTTCATCTATGAATTCATATTGGTAAATGTTGACAGTTGACAATTCACATTGATAGCAATAGTTCATATTCTTTTCCTTCATTAAATTTCCCCTTTTTTCAATTTTACTTCAAATTATTATTTTATCATATTCAATCATATTTCAAAGAACATATTTCATTCCAATAAACTACAATACTACGAATCATTTTGCCCCAATAATTTATCTTTAGTTTAGCATTTTGGAATTATTTGAAAACTATTTCCCTTCCAATTTCTACATTAAAAATTAGTTAATAAACAGGAAAATTTTTCATTTCTATTTGGAAGCTATTTTTTTTTTCATTTCTATAATCATATCTATCGATTTGAATGATTTTAATTTTCTAGCTATGCTTGAAATTCCTTGCATATTTTTAAAACTAAAATTGCAAATAATAAGATATCTGATAAGTTTAAAAGTCCTAAAATTACAAATGCTAAAGTGATGAATATTAAACTTTATAAAAATTCATGTAAGTTTCTGATGGATTTTTCAAAATTTTTTCAATGCATAATTTGATTTTCCATTAACATTTTCAATGTAAATGCACATGATTTCGACATAATCTGATCTACTTTTCAATCTTTTTTACGATCACATTTTTTTTATAACAAGCGATAAAATAATAATTGCATTTAAAGACGTATTAGTAACTCATGAAATTGTAGTTTCATTAATGAGTCACATTTTTAGCTCAGATTTCAGTTTTATATTTCGTATGATGATTATTCATACAGCACTTTCAAATAGTTAGGAACTAACTCTCTTATAACATTTAATTAAGTCCATTATTCGGTTTTTATGATAGGTATCAATATTACTTCAAAATATTAGGAACTAATTCTATCTATATGGTTTTTAACTAGTTCTATCATTCGGTTTTTATGACGGTTATCAATATCATTTTCAAATATTAGTCAGGAATTAGTTCTATTCGATTTAATTGAATCTTTTGATTCGATTAAGTTTTACTGTATTATTCTCACGAAACGCTGACGAAGCGACAGAGTAACACATACTAAGTAAGAGATATTACATATATCATAAATTGGATTACCGCCGGAAATTTATGATTGAAATTGAAAAATGATACATTATTATATCACCGTATATACATTTTATATGTCAACCTGTTAAATTAATCGGTTGATTTACTATTCAAAAAATTGTTCTTTTAAGCTAACGAAGTGAATTTTAAAAGTTTTGCTTTTACTATCAAAAAAACTTTACAGATAATAAGCACTCAGAGCTTTTCGCAATTTAAAAATTTCTTTTTTCTTATTATTTACTTGATTATTCAACCGGTTATTCACTAATTTCATGTTAAAATGTTGATTGCCTTTAAAAAAAAAGCTTATACTACTAGCAACATTTAGGATTCAAACGAGATTTTTTACTTTTTTTCCAATATAAAATAAATTACCGTATAAGCTTGGAATTTTCATAGAGAAAAATTTATACCTTTAAATTTATTTCCGTATAAATTAGTATCTAACTTAGTTGATAGCTAAAATTAACTTTCACTTTTTTGCGTCATATTATGATGACAAGAATTATTATCATAGAATTTAATCACTCAAAAGAATATAATAAAATCGGATATCATTTGAACATTAAAAATGTTCGCTTCAAATAGGCTGCATTTTATTTTTAATTGATATTTCTTTTGTAAAATGAACAATAAATTTGGACTATCCATTGGTTTTTATTATTACAAAAGGATATCATTACACCTTTTTTCTTCTTCCATTCACAATAAGGGTAATACTTAATAAAATCACACCTACTTTTTTCGCATAATTCTATTTTTTTTGATAATTGATTAAATGTGATAAAATTAGAGGAGCGAATAAATTTATATCGTTTGGTTCATTGTTTTATCTCTTTTCCAAAAAAAACAAAGTATTAATGATTTGTAGCGGTAAAATTTTTTGCTATTTTTCAAATTTTCGGATGACGGTCATTAAAAATTTTATTTGAAAAGTGAAATAATCAACCTGAATAGGTAGTAAATAGTTCACAACACTGAAGAGATTTCATCCTATTACACTGAATACAGAAGTATTTGATAAAGCAGAAAAGGGAAACTAAATTTGTTCAGAAGAAAAAAATTTTTAAAAGAAAAGAATAAAATTTCAGCTAAATGAACAATAGTTATAACAAAACAAACTCTTTGGTATAGAATTATTTAAATGTGCGTAGGAACGAAATAATTATTTGTGCGATTAATGCCTTTCAAGGAATGTTGATTTCTTTTTTTTTCTTCTTTCTGATTTATCAAGTGAGATCATTACATTAAGTTAGCTAATGAAAGAAAGAAGGAAGGAAAGAAAGAAAGAAATTAGCGTTTAAATTATTTGATGATAAGGCAGTTGCAATTACAATCAATAAATAGAAGCATTTTTTGTAAAATACTTGTGAATTTAAGATGGCGGGAAAATTTACACATAAAATTAGAAAAGGATAAAATGCCATCAATAATTAAAAATTAGGCACAAAATACGAAACAGAAAGTTGGAAAGCAACACTCGAATAAATTTCTATGTTTCATTGCCTAATTTTTTTTCTTTCAGTTAACAATTCAAAAATTATTTTATGGAATCGTATGAAAAATGAAAAATAATAGTGATAGAGAGATGAAGTTTTATGGTAAAAGCGTTTCTTATGAAAAATTCATTCATTTTTTTTTTTTTGATCGTTTGAAATGCTTCAAAAAAAAAAGAAATGAACAGTTTTTGGAAATTTGAAATATTATTTACATACTAATATTATTTTTAAATTTGAACAATTCAATTTTCAAACAATTTGTTGTCTATGTGTTTGTGTTTGTTTGTTTGTTTGTTGTTTTTTTAATTATTAATAATTAATATGATATAATGGAATTGGGGAACGAAATAGATAACTTTTCTTAGTATTCTTTTTTTTTCTCTCTCTCTCTCTCTCTCTTCAGTTCTCAGCACTGCTGCTAGCATTATCCAGTTTGATCGTCTTCAAATAGTTATTAAATGTTGTAGCATTGTTGCAGCGATCATAGCTGCAAATGCATCGGAAAATGAATTCTACCGATTCTGATGGATTGACGACATTTTTTGGATTCAGCTGACCGAAATCATATTTCTGAAAAGAAAGCTATTAAGTTTAGATGGGGAGAGATGATTGATATATTTTAATTTAGGATGAAATTACTATTATTGATCATTAATTCATCGATACTTTCTCCTCTTACCTATCGTTGAACTATTAGAAAGAAGTATCACAAACCTCTAGGAGACAAACAGATAGTACTTGATAAATTTCATCCGATGCGCTAAATGCTTCATCATATGCTTTTGTCCAATCTGCTTCTGGGCCAATACCGAATACACGACTTCTTTCATGACCCGGTATAAAGACGCAATAATTCCAGGATTCATTTGATATCTCATATACTTTACCCTGAATGTAAAAGTATATTAAGTATTTTAATTAGCTAGAATGTATAACTTTTATTTTTGTTGTATAACTTTTTTTTAATGTTTCCGTATTTATAATATGAGTTAAAATAAATTTATTTAAGTTGCAAAATTATGAACATTAATTGAAATAATTACTTACAGATTCATCATTTTCATAACAAACCAAAGCATTGATATTAGCCGTTAGCAACGTGATTATAGTTACCCCTGCAAACAGTGTCATCGAGACCATGACACTCTTGCTGCAATAAGAAAATTTGAATGAATGAAGAAATAAAAATTAAATTCCGAAATATAAAAAAAAAGGAGCGAAACGATGAAAGGAAAAGTGAAATTTTCCTGAATGAAATAAATGGGCGGATGCGGAATAGATTGTCGATGAAAGAGGAAGGAAATAAATGAAATTTTACTGATAAATAGAATTTGACATTAAAATCTAAAATTGAAAAGTTCATTTTTTTTTACTTAACCTTATACTGCTTAGCAAATGACTGATCAATTAATGAGGATTATTGTAATATATAATCTAATTGATTTTTTTAGTATGATAATTTTTGTATTTAGTAATATAGTTATCATTATAATTCTTTGATATATTAACAAATGCTCATTTTTAAATCATCTTATCAACAAATAAAGGTTGATGTGGAAGAGAATTTGAGAGCTTCTAATTAAGAGTATATCGGAATGGATAAGATAGTTTTCCGTTCGATAAGAACAATTTAACATAGACAAGCATAATATATAACTTATGAACAAATTCCATGCTAACAAAAAAGTAATCAAAATTTGGTTGTAAATTTTTTATGCAACTAAAAAAAAAGATCGTTTTTTTTCTCCTGTTCTATGAATGAGAAAGAATGAATTTTGCGAGTTTTGCAAAATGATTTATGAAGTGTTCGGGGCGAGAAACCACAATAAAGACTAACTGTGTAAGGTCTACTATTTCTAGTCCTAATTTTACTACTACTACTACTACTACTACTACTACTACTAGTATTGAAACAACAACAATTACTACTATTATATCAGTGAAACTAATATAACTGACTATCAGTATTACTAGTAATATTAGCAATAATAAGTTATAAATATTATTATTACAATTACATGTATTTTACTAATTACACTACCATTTTAACAATTACTTATAATTCATTATTTTTACCACTTATTACAGTAATAACATTGCAATAATTATAGTTATAATAATAATCGTCTTCAATACTATCACTTTTATTACTACTAATATAAATAATATTGCTAGTAATATTTATCAATAGCTAAGTATATTTTGCAAATATTCAGTATTTCATTCTTTATTACTATCAACGTTTGCTACCTTTTATCATGCAATTTCAAATATTTCCATTTCTTTTTTTCTTGCCTTTCATTTTTCATTTGTCTTTTTGCTAAGTGAATTTTTGTAGATTGAAAAATTGAAAAATTTCTTGGTTTTTCTTTTCTTTTTTTCTTAAGCGTCATTTAAAATGCGCTTAGAGGAATCAAATCCTTCCGAACTATTCTTCTTATCAGCATCTTATCTGTTCTCTACATATAAATAGATCTATGGTAATTAAAAATGAAGTATTATTGTTATAATACTTATCCGAGATAAAAATCTTCGAATTATTTAGGAAGATGATGATTGATTGATATCCTTAAGATTATACTTAATCCATACTGTACTTAATTATCTACTGATAGAATGGCAATGCTTTACTACTTCTTAAATGGAATATATTATTTATTTTGAGAGTAGTATATATCCAATTTTTAATCTTTTTTTTTTAATTTAACATAATATTGTAGTGCGTAAAGATTTTGTATAAGATGATGAAAAAGGCTATATACATTATTAGCATAGTAAATTTGGATAGATGGAAATTGCAATTGGAAGGAATTGGTAATGCGTAAGGAGTGAAATGAAATTCACCGAGACGTCGACATTCTACGACGCACCAGAAACCAGTAATGCACCCAGCAGGAGGACGATCACCACTCGAATCCCCCAAACCTCTCTTTTCCCTCTCTCTCCCCTTCTCCTCCTCCTCCCCCTCCCGTCATCCACCACCTACACAAAATCCTGCTCCGCCTATGGCTTTATCTGTGAAATGCCACACCTCCAACTTTTTCTCCTCATTTATTAAGATTTGAAAAAAAAAAAATCTTAAATGATTGAAATATTCTCTACTGTCATGATAATTACCGATAAGAATGATAAGAGAGAGAGAGATCATAAAGATTATGGGATAGAAAGGAAGGATATTCAATTGAGCATTGATTATTTAGCGATATGACTATTTCGAATAAGAATTTTATATGGTAATAATGAAAAGTTTATGTATTATATGCAAAAAAAAATCCGATTAAATTTTTTTAATGATATGAAAGCTATTTTCTGATGATTTTTCTGAAATTACTGCTATAATTTTGAATTTTTTGTAAAACTGGTAATAGTAAATTATTTCAAATTATCTGTTTTTGTGAAATGAAACTGACAGTGGCTAATTAATTGATTTAAAACTTTTTCAATTAATTCGGCAATTAATTTAAATGAGAAAACAAGATGATGTAAGTGGTCGAGAAAAAAAAGTGAATCAAATCACTTAGTTAGACAGTTAGTAAAAAAAAATTGGTTTTGAAGGTGTAGTCATCCATAATGTTGTTCCCAACAGAGAGAAAATAATTTATTAGTACTCGAAAGTGAAATTTCTTTCCACTTAAATTGCAAAATGGAAATTTTTATTAAATTACTTATTAGCATCATCGTATGAATAAGAAATTTTAATAAACGTAACAAAAATTAGTAAATATCAAGAAATGATATAAGTAAAATAAGTTTACTGTTTTTTGTGAGATTGAAAATTATTAAGAGCAAGATGACTGTGATAATTTGATTTGTTATCTGAACAGTGCTAATATTAAATTATCAATATTTCGCAGTACTGAATTAAATTTTCGTCTTTATCTACTTTGCTTATGTGTGGAACTTTTCAGCGAACGAAATTTTATGTATTTTCTTTTTTTTCAAAAAAAAAAAATTATAAAAGATAAAATAACTGAAAAAAGTTTTCATGTTTTTATATTTCATGAAATTCAGGAAAAAGGAAGGAAAAATTTCAAAAAAAGCCCTTTAAGTAATAAGTATTGAACAAAAGAAATAAATGAATAGGCAAAGACGAAGTTGGTAAAAATATAAGTAAAATGATGATAAATTAGTGAATAAATGTGGGATGAAATATTTTACTAATAAAATAGTAGCATAATTTAACTTACAATTTATTGATATTTTCGAAAGTTTTATCTCATATCTAATTCTCCTTTTTTTATTTCAAAAATATAGCGCTATCATTTTGATTGATTATTATTGTCGTAGTTGAGAAAGGGAGAGAGAGAGAGAGAGAGGGAGAGAGAGGGAAAGGGTCGAGGTGGATAAAAAGTATATTCATTGTCATCATTCTCGAATTACTACTCTTTCTTTTTTTTTGTTTTGTTTTTTTTTTTTACAGTAATGAGGGAAAGTGGTGGCAGATGGAGAACAACAAATGAATTTGGTGCATGATTCTTGCGCAACACTTGCTATTTAGCGAATGATATGTAGCTGTAAAAAGAAATATTTAAAGATTATAGAGAGAGAGAGAGGAGGAGGAGAGAGAGGGAGAGAGAGGGAAAAAAGAATGTTTATGTAGACTCAATCATTTTAGCAATTTGTAAAATATAAGAAAAATTCCAAATTGCAAGATATTTTGAAAAAAATTTTAGAAAAGATTAGACGTGCAAAAAATATTAGCAAATGCTGTAATGATTTGTCGTTTATTATAATACATATGGAAAATAAAAGAGGAATTAAATAATGTTTTTTTAAAAATTATTATGTCTAGGATCGCTCGTGGATATTGAAATATAAAATTATGCACATTATTATTATAAACTACATAAATTGTAATTAAAATGATTATTATATCATTTTTTGCTCTTAAAAAAAAGAGTCCAAAAAATTATATTTTCTGAACCATAACCCAAAGTATGATAAAATATGAATTGAAAATTTTGGTATTACACATTTTATTATTCGTCATTAAAAAATAGTCTTCAATGCTTTTTTTTTTTCAGTTCATTATTTGCAGGCTGTTCGACGAGCCTTTTCACATTATGAATTTGTAAGGCAATGGAATTGCACTGATGAATGCAACGACATTATTGAAAATAAAGAAGAATACATGATCAACCTTTTGCAGAATCTCTGGGATTTGGTATGTTAGGAAATTTATGGAATTTTTAGGTGAACAATTTGAGACACGGAAAAATCCATCCTTTTTTTTTCTCCTTCTTCAGCTTTTCTTTTAGTACATATATTATTCAAATAATAGTAAGAATTCAAATAAACCAGTTAATCATTTTTTTGGAAATTTGATTTTCTAAAAATAAACTTTAAAACAGATAGACAGTCATTTCTTATTAATAATTCGGTTAAGATTAAGTTTATTTCTTATTAATTTCATTTTGTTTCCTTCGATCTAATCAATCGTATGAGTAGTTCCGCAATTCCTCCCTTATTTCTTTTTTCCTTTCTTTCATTCATTCTCAAGAAGCAATTTAATGATTAAAAAAGGATAAAGTTTATCCTTACTATCTGAAAAAGGTCTAGCTAAACTATATTTGTTCATTTATTTGAATTATTTTTGCTCATTTAGCCTTCAATGAAAGAAAAACATAAATATTTCATTAAATATACATCAAAAAAAGTGTGACATTCATCTGGAAATTTTTGTTCATATAATGCATTTAATGAAATGTTAAACCTTTTATTTCTTGCACTCATTTAATCAGTTAAACTTTTTCCAATAGTTCGAATGATGTATAAAGAATAGTTTGAAAAAAAAAAGAGAAAATGACGAATGAATAGAAATAAAATAGATGGTAAAATGATTCTCATCTATTCTAAAGCGTCATCCGTATCCGGAACTGTGCTTACCATATGAAATTCAATGATTAGAAATTTAAAAGCAGTTCCAAAATTTTTTATTTAACATAAAGCAAGATTTGCTAAGTTAAATTTTAATAAAACTATAACAAATAGAGTCAAATTTTAATAAAATTCGCATGAAAAAGTTCTTAATTGATACATTTACACCATAATTGATGTGATTGATGTGTTGAAAAGATACTTCAATTTGTATTCATTGGAAATTTTACATTATTCTCAAATGATTCATTTGA